ATAATAATAATAATAATAGCAATAATAACAATAATAATAATGTAAATTAAACGAAGACGATTATAATAATATCAATAATACTATTAAATATAATAATGACAATAACAATGATTATATCAGTAATTATAATAACAAAAGCAATAATAGTAATAATAATAATAATAATAATAATAATAATAATAATAGTAATGAAGTCAACAACAATAGTAACAACAATAATAATATTAACAAATATCACATTCATATATTGAACAATTCCAATAAGTAATAATGGCGGTAATAAAAATGCAAATAAAATGTAAGTAATATTAACATCACATATAATAATAATACTAATAACAATAGTAATAATAATCTATTATAAGCCTAAGATTTTAATTTGCGTATTTTTCTATCAAAAAGTCAAAAAGACGGGTTTTAAATAGTGAAAAAGTGTTGAGGGATTGAAAATGAAAAGGTAAATTATTCCATGATTTTACGCATTGGTTTGTAATAGAATTATCACCGTATTTTACCGAACAGCGATTTGGGATAGATAATTTAAAGTTACTCAAAGATCGAAGGTAATAACGAGAACTTTTTTTAGTGGTAAAAAAATTGGAGAATGACGGAGGGAGGTTTACTTGTTTATGATTCCAGACAAATAGACAATTTAATAGATAAACAAGATCACATAATTTGAGTATTTTTGATAGAAAGTAAAGGATGTCAGAGTTAGAATGATACTGTTGAAAGAATATTATTTTTAAAGCTTTGTTTTGTAGGTTACATAACCTTAAAAAAGCATTAGACTTGCATTGTCCCCAAACCTGACAAGCGTATCTAAGATGAGATCCAAAAATTGCATGGCATATATTAAATAGTGTTTCATAATTGACATACAACACCCACCCAAAAATAAAATGATTTTTTCTAAATGAATCTTTTCTAACTATTTAAAAAATGCTAATTCTAATTCTTTCTTTCTCAATCCAGTGACTGAAAATGAAGTGTCTGATTTAATAAAAAATAGTTTACTAAATGGTATAAGTTTAGGACCAAATAGTATCCCCACACCCCTTCTTAAACTTACTTCTCATGTTATTTACAAGCCTCTCTGTACCATATTGAATAAATCTTTTAATAAAGGTCTTTTTCCAGATGTTTTTAAAATAGCCAAAGTTATTCCTAACCATAAAAAGGGTTCTCTAATGGACCACAAAAATTATTGACCATTTTCTCTTTTATCTAACATCAGCAAAATATTTGAAAAAGCCATGTACAACAGACTTCATAGCTTTCTTGACATAAACCAATGTCTTTACAAAAATCAGTATGGATTTCGTAATTAACACTCCACAACTCATGCACTTATTAAAATAACTGAAACTATAAGAAATGCTCTTGACAATAAACTTTTTGCATGCGGAGTGTTTCTTGACTTGGAGAAAACCTTTGATTCTGTTGACCACTCCATCCTCTTAAGTAAATTAGAACACTACGGTGTTCGAGGTAATACTTTGTAATGGTTTTCATCATATCTTTTTGATAGATTGCAATTTTTCTCCATCAAAGATGCCAAATCTTTTCCAATAAAATGCTCCACGGGTGTACCACAAGGTTCTGTATTAGGAACATTGCTTTTCCTTATTTTTATAAATGATCTTAATATCTCTCTAAAGTTTCAACGGCTTACCATTTCGCTGACGACACAAACTTACTCATAACAAACAAATCATTAAAAAAAAATTAACAAACATATTAATCATGATTTATCTAACCATCTTCAATGGCTGCGCTCTAACAAACTAAGTCTTAATACCAACATAACTCAACTTTTTATTTTCAAATCAAATCAATCTAAGATGTATTAAAACCTAAACTTTAGACTAAGTGTACAAAAAATCTTTCCCGTAGTTTCTCTAAAATATTTTGGAATCCAAATTGAATCAGATCCATCTCTATCCTCCAATCTTAAAAACTTAGGAGTAAAATTGTATAGATCAAATGGGATGCTAGCCACTATGTCAATTATGAAACTCTTCTTAATACATATAATGCAATTTTTGGATTTCATCTTAGATACGCTTGTCAGGTTTGGGGACAATGCAATCTAATGCTTTTTTAAGATTATGTAACCTACAAAACAAAGCTTAAAAAATAATATTCTATCAACAGTATCATTCTAATTCTGACATCCTTTATTTTCTATCAAAAATACTTAAATTATGTGATCTTGTTTATTTATTAAAATTTCTATTTGTCTGGAATCATAAACAAGTAAACCTCCCTCCGTCATTCTCCAATTTTTTTACCAAAAAAGTTCTCGTTATTACCTTCGATCTTTAAATAACTTTAAATTATCTATCCCAAATCGCTGTTCGGTAAAATACGGCGATAATTCTATTACAAACCCATGCGTAAAACGTTGGAATAATTTACCTTTTCATTTTCAATCCCTCAACTCTTTTTCACAATTTAAAACCCGTCTTTTTGACTTTTTGAGAGAAAAATACTCTAATTAAAATCTTAGGCTTATAATACATTACTATTACTAATGTTATTAGTATTATTATTATCATATGTGATGTTAATATTACTTACATTTTATTTACATTTTTATTACCGTCATAAAAATTGTTTAATATATAAATGTGATATTTGTTAATATTATTATTGTTATTATTGCTATTATTGGTATTGTAATTATTGATATTGTTGTTAATATAATTACTAATATAATCATTATTATTGTCATTATTATATTTATTAGAATTATTAATATTATTTTAATTCTTCATTTAATTTACATTATTATTATATGATTGCTATTATTATTTAATTGGTGCTTACCTTAGATTAGTACTTGTATTATTAGTAAACAACCATAAAATGAAAACTTTTATTTCAGAATATATATATTGTTTTTGTTATTGTTATACTGGCTGTCCGGATCCGTAAGAGTCGGATCTTTATCAAACCAACCGTATATCAAGACGTTTCTATGAATATTTATATTTATAAATATATATATGTTTACTTGTTCATATATATATATATACATATATATATATATATATATATATATATATATATATATATATATATATATATATATATATTTATATATATATATATATATATATATATTTATACATATGTGTATATATATATATATATTTATATTAATATATATATATGTATATATATATATATATATATATATATATACCCTTAATTCTTATGTATATATATATATATATATACAAATGTGTATATATATATATATATACACATATATATATATATATATATATATATATATATATATATATACATCTCCTTAATTCTTCTCATCTTTATTTTAGTTTTGCTCACTTTATTACTGGTGGGTTACTTTTACTTTACATTTTAGTTTAATATTAGGTAATAAATGTCCAAAATTCATTATTTTTATACCATACTTAAAATTATTTAGTTGAAAGATAACTTTTTGAAAAACGTTATTACATTTGTATGACTCCTGGAAAAATTTTATGAAAGAAGATTTTGTTATTTAATTTTTTAAAAAAAGATTATTAATATTAATTTTAATATTGTGTTTTTAAATGTTACGTTTTATAAAGATTTTTTGAACTATGCATTATTTGTATAATGCGTTTATATATAATATATTCATACCTTTATAAGTATAATTATGATAGGCAATTAACCTAAAAACCTAAAATTAACATAAACAAATAATTTGTTATGCATCTAGAATCTTGTCCATTTGAGTCTAATAGAAAGTGATTTTTAAATTTGATCAAGTCCTTTGGGTTAGGCTGTGACCAAGATATTAATTATTTATAAATTAAAACCCTTTTGTTTTTGTAGTTTTTAATGTCATTTTTTATTTCGCCTGAAAGTTACACTCAATTTATGCGCTTTTTTTGTTACTCTTTTCCAGAATTAGTGTTGCTAAATGCATTTGAAATCATTAAGATCAATGTTTGAGCAAAGGTTTTAGAGTTTTGAAGATATTTTAGAACAAAGCTCTAATTTTAGGCAAGGTATTAGTTATTATTATGTTTAATACAATCTCCTCTTCAAAGAAATTAGGCACAGCATGATTTTCCTTTTAAAAACTAAAAACTCAAATCTTTTCTCAATTATTTTTTAGCTTCGTTTAAAATGTCTAATAATTACTATATCTGTAAGTAAAATTAAAAAAAATAACTACAGCAAGAAATTTTACTTTTTTTAGAATATTTATATATTTTTTTCATTAAATTGAGTTTTAAACACATCTGGGGATTAGTTAATTTTCCAAAGATTATTTTAGATTTTTTGGTGTATTAGTAGTTGTAATTTTATATTTATCAAAAAGTTTTAAAATTCTTGATAAATACGATTTTTTTTATCCAGAATTTACTTTCCCTATGGGTACTGCAGATTTCAGTGAGAGTTATGGAAAAGGTATTTATATTAACATTAATTGTATTTTTGTTCTAAAAAATCCATAAAATATTTGTAAGTTGTATATGTAAACCTTTTTCTTCCTTTTTTTAGGAACAAGTGTTAATGACAGGGGATTTCAGTTTAAGAAAAATCTAAAGAGAATCTATTTAAATTTTATGCAGAATTTAATGATATAAGACCTCTGACAACATCAGAGAGGCAATAACTTGACGATGAAATAAATAATCTTCGACTTGAAGAGGATTTATTTATGTCGTAGTGTATGTCTTTAAAAAATAATAATTGCAGTTTGGGAATAAACTAAATTCGATCTCAACCTGATAAATGTACCATGATTACGGATATTAGTCTTCCAATGTTAGAAAAGCTGCTGTGTTACTTATGCAAAAGAACTGATGAAAATTTGCTAAGAAGTTTGGATTCAGCAGATCAAATAGTGTTCTACTTAGTGAAATTAAGACACGACATTAATTTTGATATGATGTCATTTATGTTTGGTTTTAAAAAAACTATGGAAGTGGATTGACATTATGTATGTTAGATTGAAGTTTTTGATTAAAATGCAAGATAGAGATCGTATTTATGACACATTTCCTCCAGTTTTCATAAACAAGTTTCTAAGACTGACATCGATTATTGATTGTTTTGAGGTTTTTGTGGAATCACCCTCATCTCTTTTGGCAAGAGCAAAATTATACAGCCAATTTAAAAGACATTGTTTAATAAAATGTATGACATTCTGTACACCCTGTACAGGATGTAAGACATTTTATTGTACAATCCTGTACAGAACTATTAATTTTATTTCTAAATCCTACCGAGGTAGAGCTTCAGATAATCGAATAACGCATGAATTAAAGTTTGCATCTAGTAAGTATCATATGCCAGGTGATCAGTTTCTAGCGGATAGAAGTTTTACCTTGCATTATGATGAGGCTGCTGGAAGCTGCTCTTTATTGATAAACCCAGCTTTTTTAAAAGGTAAAGCTCAATTCTCTGCTTCAGATGTAGAAGAATCAAGTAAAATATCGTTGGTAAGAATTTATATAAAAAGAGTTATCAGACTATTAAAAGGTCGCTATACGATTCTCGAAGGTACTTTACCTCTGCGAACAATTAAAACAATTCTGACGAATTAACAGAGAGAAAGAAATTAACAAGGTTTTGTTCAAAAAAAAAATTCGTAACAAAAGTTTTCAAACCGCATACAAACTCGCAAGGTTGCTGTACGTAGGCTTTCGGATCCTCTCACTATATCTCTGTCAAAGTAAAAGGGGTAATTAAAAGGAGAGAAGGTACACGGATATGTGTTCCAGCCCCAATATATACGAATGTTCAATGTATATATGATTTGGTTAAGCATTCCTATTCATTCCGCAAAGTCTTGTTTTTAATTCCTCGCTTAGCACAAAAACGCTTTCGTTAGGTTAGCCAATTTAATAAATGCTTTTCTCCATGTGGCGATGCTCAGTGATAAGACCATTAGAAGTTTTTAGTGGACCTTAATAAATAAATAAAATTCGATTCCTGCTTAAAAATTTGTGAAATGGAGTTAAATTTTAGGAAAATCAGTGATAAAAAGGAAAAGAAACCTTTTAAGCAAACTGAAGCTACCTATACTGTATATAATGTAAGATTTATTTCTTCAGAGTGTTTTAACTTATCTACTACTTTCCCTAATATTCTCAACTTCCTCGGATTTAATAAGACACTCATAATTTATGCATTTTTAATGTAGAATGAAAAAAAAATTAAATCACTTATAAAAAAAAGTTTTTTGGTGTAACCAGGCCTTAAAGTTAAAACTTAAAACAAGAATTTCCCACTCATCATTTTACGAAGTACCTGAAAGTAACGCAAGCGTAATATGCAATCAAGTCTAACGACAAGTTCAAATTTGATGTCTTTGAACAAAACCATTATCAAGAAATTTTTTTTTTAACATCTTAAGCGTCTTCGCATAATGTTTATTTATGTAATGCATTAATTCATATGCTTTAATATGTTTTTAATAATACATGGCTATAAAAATAGCCGTTTTTACTCACCTAGATGATGCAGGTTCGACACTGTACAACACTGTACGATCATTGTATCAATGGCAAAACATAAATTTTAAAGCAAATAAATACTTTTGAAATTTAGAGAAAAAAAAAGTTTTATAAAAAAATTTTAAAAATATTATTTAAAAAAAAAATTAACATTTAACAATTTTTTTGCTGGAGACCTTTATTTTATACTTGTAGCTACTGCAATACCATACAGTAGATCTGGGGGCTGATTTCAAAGATAAACATTTAAGATGAAACTAATTATCGCACGAATCACAACCAACCATGTTTACTCATTTAAAAAATTTTTAGATTTACAAATGAAAAAAAGAGGGATTTTATTTATAGTTTTACTTAATATTGGAATAAGTAACTCATTCTTTGACTCTATTTCTCGTGTAACTAATTCTCTCAAAATAACGGTATTCCAAAAAACATCACATTTAATAAATACATTATCAATGAAGGCGGTGTCAGGCTCAATGCGCAATTCAAAAAATGGACACTGGGTGTCCACAACATGAAATCACAATAACTGACTCCAGTAACTCTCGTTTCCAGCTGAACCTGGAACAAGTATTGATGTTCTTTTTTTAAAAAACATTTCCCATCAATGTTTACTCCAACATAAAAATCATTTTTAACTATTTCCCCTTTCAATGACTTGTCTTTTAAACCAAAAGGACATTTAACTTCCAAAACCCCATGCCGACAGTAAGTACAATAAACAGATCCATCAGGAGATGCTGCATATCGTGGTTTTTCGTAGTCATTGTAAAGTCCTAATTAATAATTTTTCAACTTTCAAATTTTGATAAATTAAAAAATCAGTGATTTTGAATTATTAACTGCATTTGAGTCAGAATTAATACGCTTATAAAAGGTTAATGCAATTATTTCATTTTCTCTTCCCCAGGTGATTGCAGAATTTTTTTCTGTATATTTTTCTCCTTATTAATATTTAAAATTAATGACACAGGTGGTGTTTCAACTTTAGCATTAAAAATTTAGTGGAAAGTAAAACCAGTTATTTTACCAACTCTAACCTTAAACCAGATATCACATAACGATTGGTTTCGTGTTGCTTCCTCAACATAAACAATAATATCAGACAACAATTTTAGTTCTTTTTCTTCATTAAAAACAGCTATCAGTTGCTCATTATTAAGTAATTTATAGCTTTCACTATAAAATTGTCTTATTGATATTAGTAATTTTGACACAACTGCGGATTCTGTATGAATAAACTCCATGTCGAATTCTTTAAACAACTGAAGAGCAGCAGTTTTGGGTTGGACACTATGTAATTGTGACAAAAACTACATTTTTTCTTGATATGTGGGATAAACAGGCTGTTTCTGCCACATTTCAAGAAAAAAATTCTTTTTTCTCTTTTTAGAAAGTTTTTCTTTTGCAGCATCAGAGTATAAACTGATTTGAGAAACTGGGGATCCAACAATATTTTCTGTAAATGTTCGATCCCATTGACAAGGCAAATCAGTTGGTGTGTTTAAAGTCATACCAATACGAACATCAGCTTCAAAGTTGCTGTAGAATGTGGCATGTTTTACCTATAGTATTTAAAAAAATAGATGTACTTTAAACGTTAGGTAAATTATGCAAAAACATATTACAAGCGTCACAATGAAGCTTATAATTGTTTACTAATTATAATTGTTTATAATAAGTTTACTTTTTTTAAAAAATGATTTTGTTATGTTTATTTATAGTATTATTATTCCTACAACTTCTCTATACTATTTTAATAATATTTGACCTGTCTAAATTTTTTCTGTCCGCGCAAAACCATGCAAAATAAGACAAATATTTTAACCATTCAATATTCTGTTTTAAAATGTTTTATAAAAATGGAAGACGTTATTTAAAAAAAAAATCATACACGATAATCACAGAAGGCATATATAAACTGTTATAATTTAGTTTTAACTTCATCGATCATACAAAAACATCAAACATTTGTATAACTTTTTTTATTTATTTTTTGCTGAAAAAGGCGTTTTGCACAGTTATATTGATTATTAAAATAGTCCAGCTGACTTCATGAAGGTTTTTTAAAATTATTTCAAAATAAATTTTTAATCTAAAATAAAAATTGACATGCAAAACCAGATAAAACTTTTTATAAGATCTATGATGATAATGATACGAGCATGATTTTTGTCTTAAACATTTTTTTAATGATATCTATTGTACAGCCTTTAATTTTTTAATTTTAAGCAATTTGATTTACTCGAAAACATTTTTTGCCATTATCTGAGAATGAAAAAAAAAAAAGAATTATCTGGTTTTATAACTTAGTCCAAGTCCACTTCTCAATTATTCTCAGATTTATTATCAAGTTTCAAAATTTTGAAGTTTTTTGAATTCTACTTTTATTAATTTGTAATTATGTATGAAAGTGACATACCCAGTCATACACTTATAGTAAGCAATTTAAACTTTACTAAGAGAGTCAAGAGCAACCAAAGGCTTATGATTAGGAAATGTGGTCCTATATGAAGGTCGAACGTCGCATTTTAAAATAATCACATCTTGACATACTTTCATATGGACCATAATTTATCTAAAAAGATCATCTTGAAATCAATCATCTTGAAAGAACGTCTATGTTTCTAATGACTTATAGTTTTCCATTGCTTCTGGATAATAAATACCTAAAGAATGTGAACGATCTAAACTTGTAAATTGTAAAGCAAATTAAAAAAAGTACTTTTCAAACCGAAGTGTTACTAGTAGTGGTTAACATGAACATAGGTGTTACTAATCATGTTTTAAAGTAATATTGGACTACTGAAAAAATAAAACATGTTTTAAATTAAAATTTAGCTAGTATTTCGTATGTAGGGTTTTAATCAAGCAGTATTAAAGATTGTGAATGTTTAAAGACGGCCATCTTCACTCCAAGAATCTGCTATGGACATTTATTCAACCCTAAAATAGCCAAAATAATATGTTGACAGCTTTGTAATACATCATCTATTTTTACCAAGATTTTAAAGCATGTGAAAATAAAATTTATTTACACTTTATTGAAACTGTTTTAAAGGATTTTGTTTTAATTATTTTTTTTTAATATTTCATTTTATTGAACTATATATATTTTCATATTTTTAAAATATGGTTTTTTTAATTACAAATTTACTTGTTAAATATATATTTTAAAAATATTTCACTCTATTTTTTTGGCGGAAACTTGAATGATTTTTTTGTTTTTGCGGTAACTTCAAAGAAATACTTTTGATAGTATTTCTTTGAAGTTACCGCAACCCGTTTAGGTTAAAATATATATTTTTGAAGAATGCAGTATTAAGATAAAACCTAGCAAGTTATAATAATAAAGTTTAATATCTATTTTAAAGTGAGACTCAATATTCTAAATATACTATTTCTAGACGACTAATAGTAGCTAACAGGTAATGAAAGTTAAATTTTTTTTGTTTTAGACTCTACCCTTTTCCAACAAAGAAGAAAGTAGACAAAAAAAATATGGAAATTACTTTTAAATAGAGAAAAAATGAAAGGCTTTGGAGTCCTGGAGCAAAATCCAGAGTTTGCTCTCTACATTTTCCTAAAATAATAAAAGTAAACTGCTTCAGGAAAATAATAAGATATTGCGCTGAAAGCTAGTAAAATATGAGTTTCATAAAGATTTTCACAAAACAATCTTAAATTTAGATAAAAATGCCTTAATTCACACTAGTATTCAAAATAAAGAAATTTTTAATGTCATACATGGTATACTTTTCCCATTAATACGTAGAAAATGGTATGGTTCTATTACAAAGTTGAATATAAATAGAAAATTTAAAAAGTTTCCTTATAAACTTTGAGCAAAAACAAAGTTATGTTAGTTTAAGTTAACATTAATGAAAAAAAGACTGGTCTTAACAGAGAATGATTTATCTCATCGATTTAATATATCAGTTTCTCTTGCAAGCCGCATATTTTTAACATGGGTTAAAGAATTAGCTTCTGTTTTACGCTGTTTAGCTTATGTTCCTGATAAAAGTGCATTAAATTTTACAAGACCAAAACGCTTCGATCATATCAAAGACATACCTTCAATT